TGATACGAAACCCATCCGTACATCCAAACATTTTCATTTATAACATAAAAGTAATGAAAGAAAGGGCTAGTAGGAAATAGGACATAACATCGGTATTACTGTAGGATTTTTTTAACTTGAGTGCTTAAAGATCATCTCGCTTGGGTAAGATAAAGTTACAATAATTAATCTGTTAAACATACAGTTTTCAGTACAATTTTAAAATTATTTAAGTAAAAATTACTCCTAAAATAAAACTCCTTATTCTCTTTCTTTCTTCCCGTCCAGTATCACTTACGGTGGTGAGATTAGCTTTCTGTACACTTTTACTTCAGATAAATGTAAAAGTAAATACGCCGCGCAGACTGATCCTGCAGCTGACGATTGTTATTAAAGTAAGAGACATATGAGATGATTTGTCCATTTAGAGCGCCCGCTCACTCGCTCGCCGCACACCTTTGACTAAATAATCACACAATTGTTGTGCGATTGTCAATTTTTTCGCAGCCAATTCAACTGTTTAGATGCCCAACTAAAAATCGAGTAGTATGCGCACCTCCATATAAGCTCATATCAATCAAAGCGAGACTTAATACTTGTGCGATAGTTTAGTCTTTTAATCAACATCGAATATTTGAACATTATATGCATTATATTTCGCATGCAAACATTAAAAAAATGAAAATATTTTGAATGTAAAAATTATAAGATTCATCTTTAAAAATGACTGTAGTCAAATCTAGACATTTCCATTATTATTTTATATTAGATGTATCCTGCTATCAATAGGTACAATGAAATTATAACTTTATCGTAATGATTCGTCGCTTTTATTAAAGACAGATTCAAATAGTCATAGTTTGTTTTTAGTACAGGTAACCGGCGTTGTAAGCGCCGTTGCAGCCGCAGCCTCCAGCGCAGCTGCCGGCGATGGAGACAACACCACCAGCTGGCACATCACCTCCGAATCTGACAGCGCCCAGGATTGGCACCTGTCCAGCGACGAGGGTGGTACCCGCGACTCCCATCTCGCCAGCGACGGCAATGTCACCAACGCCGGTGCCTCCATAAGCTGGGCCAGCGATGCCAGCAGGACCAGCGAGTCCGTAACCAAGTCCAAGTCCAAGTCCAAGTCCGTTTTCGTAGCCCAATCCAAGTCCGGGTCCGTAGCCGAATTCGGTGGCGTAGCCGGGTCCGTATCCGCGGCCACATTCACCAGCCCATCCGTCAGCGAAGCCCAGACCGAGTCCGGCTCCAAGGCATGCGCTGTACGCATTCTGAAACGTAATAAAATTGTTGATAATCAATCAATTGCTTTTCGTAAATTCTTAATAAACATTTAATTTTAACAAATTTAATATTTACCTGGATCAAGCAAGCTTGGATGCAGAGCAACAAGAAAGCGAAAGGAGACATGTTGGAGGTTTGTTTTCCGACTGTGAAATCGACAATGATTATGTAGTTGGAAGCATGCTATTTATATTTACTTTTGCCCGGCGGTCAAAACAATTTCACAATAATAACCAAGTATGGTTTGACGTCAAAAGTAACTAGTTCATTTTAAAAATGCTAATTTAATCAAAGCAAGCTAGTGTAAAGTAGAAAAAAATTTAAGAAGCCATCAAAAAAACTTTTTTAGCATCTACCTAAAAACAAGATTTTCTCATGAAAATCCTAAAACAACATATTAAAATTTAAGAGCTTTGCATGTTTCTATCGTTTTCACTTTTTTTGATTAATTTTATTATGATTAAGCTCTAATATATCGTATAAGATGTAAAGGTTACAGAGTAGCGTTGTATCATTGTATAGTTTAAGAAAACTACGAGTTTTAAGAATGCAAAATATGAGTTCGCGAATTATAATCTGTCGTTACAATTTTGTACAAGCTTAATTATTGCTTGGTTAGATAATAACTTTATTTTTATGATAATAAATAGTTTTTGAGACTAACAAGCAAAATAAAAATCGTATTTAATTGTATTACTTCTTTTATCATACTCAAAAACAACACGTCCCTTGCCGATTCATATAATTTCGAAACAAAACAACAATACAATAAACTTAGATAAAAATTTCTTCATATTTTTTTACTAATATTGTCACGTATTCTATGTTAGTGTTTTAAACGATTTCTTAATTTTTTTTGGTATTATGTAGGTCCACATTTTTTCATATATATATGCCCGTACTTTTCAGTAAGGTCAGTACAGTATCATACATACATCAACATGTCTGCTAAGACCGTCCTTCTCTTCTGCCTTCAGGCCTTTTTGGCTCACGTAAGTTACAATTATAACTTTCGTCAATGTAACTCTAAAAACAAAGTCAAAGAAGAATGTAAAATTTTAGAATTCGAGTGTTGTTTCTAAACTACATATTTTTTACAGTCCATCTCCGCGTACTGCGGCGCTGGCTTGGGTCTCGAAGCTCCCTTGATGGCCGCT